AAAAAATCCTTTGATGAAAAAACCAACCATCTTGAATTTTCTGTTAGTACGTGCAAAATTCCGTTAACTCGCTTCGGCGAGGTAATAGCGTTTCGCATCTTGACGTTATTTTTAAGTAACAACTGGAACGAGGTAATTCGACCTAATGGAAACGTGAAAGGGATGGTAAGTGAAATTTATTTTGAAAAATAAAACGACCGCTCACGTATTTTAACAAGCACGAGCCAGACGGAGGTAAAAAATGCTGTTAACATTTAACCTTTAGTGTAGTATTAGATCACGACCGCAACGAGGGTGATGTGCGCTAGAAGACACCTGGAGGACTTTTCTATTTGAAAATTATTACAAAAACTATTTATTAAATCCTGCAAGTTCTCAAGAAATTGTTGAATAAACATGTAAAAGCTGACTTCTGTTTTTATCTACTCAGCCATATGGCGTCCACTTCTGGGCATAGGCTTCCCCTAACGATCGCCACTATAATCATTCTTGTGGCTCTGGCATCCAGGATACTCCAGCAACCTTGACCAGATCATTGGTCGATTATGCGGAAGCCCTATCTACGCTTTGTCGACCTGTTCGTGGCCACCATTCCAGGACGTTGCGGCCCCATCGTCCGTCTGTTCTGCTGACCTGATGATTGTAAAAAGCTGACTTGATGATTTTTAAAATGTTGTATATAGGACAAAGACTGAGATTATTACATTGAATTTGAGAATGTTTCCATACACTAATAATTTCTAATCTGTCGTAGTATGCCGGAGACATCCTCTAACCGAATTCTATAAAAAAGTTACATACAAATAAAAGTTGACTGTTTTTAATCGAATACGAAGCGAAACTGGAATTTGTATTTACATATGTTTGTTAGAAATTGTTATTCAACTCGTGATTGTTCTACGTTTACTGAAACATTTTATTTTATTTTGAAACTAAAGTTTATATGGTTTTGAATCCTTTGCCAACAAAAATAGCATTACGCTGTGAGTGTTTGCGAACAATTTGTCCTGATGCCGGCCACATACGTACATGTATCAATTTATTGTCTTAACGTTATCAAGAAGGGAATGTCGACGGAGATGTAGGAATATAGATTAATCTGGAAGAAGAAAACGCAGTGCGCCGAATCTATATGAGTAGGATAAAGACAGGGAGATGAAGATAACGTGCAGAGATGATCGTCTTTTATCATTCATTTAAAACTGATAAAGTAAGTTTACTCCACGATAAATTCTAAAAATTCCTTATCTCTTCTGAATCGGTATTTAATATAACTAAACTAAATAACTAACTAATGTTGTATTTCAAATTGAACGTGTTCTACATTAAACACACAATATTAATATTATACCTGGCTCGTTTGTACGTTTGATTTACTTCCACGATATTAGCTCCACGTTGCGCATTGCTACGTTATATAAAATTTTACTACTTACCTGCCGACTCGAATATAAAGCAATTACGAAAATGTTTCAATATTACGCGCCTTATTCCAACCGAGAGTTTGTACTGGTGAGACATTTGCATGTTTCACTATCTGAGGAAAAATTTAAACTACAATATGCGAATCTTTTGAGAGACAGAGTTACAATCTTTTTCGCTAACAACAATCTGTTGTCCGTTTTGTTCTGTCCTTTAAGAAGACTTTGTTGTTCTTTATAAACTAACATTTACTTAAATTGAAACGTTTATCAAAGTTTACGAAACTATATATCAACTTGGCTGTATATCCATTAATTATAAACCAACAATAACTAAGACTTGGGCGTTAAGGGATAAGTTAGGGAGGTGCGACAACGATGGTCGTTACTTAGTGCTCCGGGACGTCGGGAAGCCGGGACGCCGGGACGCGGGGACGCGGGGACGCAGGGAGGCTGAGACGCCGTAATCCGGGATGACTATCCGCGCAGCCACCCAAAGCCCCGCTGAGCACTGGAAAATCCTCTAACGTGATTACAAGATATAGGTTATTATTTTGTGTACCGTCCCAAAGCCGCACAAGGGCTTTACGCCAACATTGTGTCAACTAATTTAGGTTGTCGCTCTTGCATTATGCTGAAAAATAAAAAATGTACTAAACCGAGAGCCAATTATAACTTACTAGTGCCCTGGACGAGATTTCTAAGGTGCTCTATTTTTTATCATGACCTGGAAAGTGGCACCCCCTTCAATCATGAGTCATGTGGTCGCCTAATCGCTCACTTTCCTATCGCAGACACTGACTAAACGAGACCATTCACTAGAAAAATTTGGAAAAAACCAAAAACATTGATGGTGCAAACCAGTAACAATCAGTAACATCAAGTACATCCTTAAGCTTTTAATAAAATTATAACTGTTTTCAAATATAGTCGTTAAATCATAGGGTTTGAAAAGTTATTTCCGATACAATAAATAAACAAAAATATCTGCTACATTAAAAATAACGGTCAGCGAATCATCGAAAGCTGAAAAAAGCAAATTTAAACCGTGACGGCCGCAACAAAAACTGTTTGATCAATGTTTTTTTAGCTGGCGTTCAATTAACGAAAACGAAAC